GAAGGACCCTTGCCAGGAAAGGGATCACAGAGGATATTTAGGGAAGGGGTGGAAAGGCTGAAGGGATCCAGGTGATCAGCTCCATTTAGCATGCCACAGTGAATGGAAAGGCTTTTACTGGAAACAGGATGGCCCACAAGCAAACAATCTCTCTCGGTGTGTGGCACCCAATTAAAACTGTGTAACAATCAGGCAGACACACAGTTTCAGATTATGGGAAATCTGTATCCTCAGTAGATTCCCAGGTCCCCTGTGGTGTGTTCTCAATGACCTATAAGAAAAAGGGGGCCGGGCGCGGTGGCTCAAGCCTGTAATCCCAGCACTTTGGGAGGCCGAGACGGGCGGATCACAAGGTCAGGAGATCAAGACCATCCTGGCTAACACGGTGAAACCCCGTCTCTACTAAAAAATACAAAAAACTAGCCGGGCGAGGTGGCGGGCGCCTGTAATCCCAGCTACTCGGGAGGCTGAGGCAGGAGAATGGCGGGAACCCGGGAGGCGGAGCTTGCAGTGAGCTGAGATCCGGCCACAGCACTCCAGCCTGGGCGACAGAGCGAGACTCCGTCTCAAAAAAAAAAAAAAAAAAAAAAAAAAGAAAAAGGGAACAGCCCGGTGTAGTGGCTCATGCTTGTAATCCCAGCACTTTGGAAGGTTGAGACGAAAGGATCCCTTGAGCCAGGAGTTCGAGACCAGTCTGGGCAACATAGTAAGATATTGTCTCTACAAAAAAATAAAAAATCAGGAAGGTGTGGTGGCATGCACCTGTAGTCCCACCTACTCAGAAGGCTGAGGTGGGAGCATGGCTTGAGCCCAGGAGGTTGAGGCTGCAATGAGCCATGACTGCACCACTGCACTCCAGCCTGGACAAAAGAGCGAGACCCAGTCTCTTAAAAAAAAACAATTAACAGGCCGGGCATGGTGGCTCACGCCTGTAATCCCAGCACTTTGGGAGGCCAAGGCGGGCAGTCACGAGGTCAGGAGATGGAGACTATCCTGGCTAACACGGTGAAACCCCGTCTCTACTAAAATCACAAAAAATTAGCCAGGCGTGGTGATGGGCGCCTGTAGTCCCAGCTACTTGGGATGCTGAGACAGGAGAATGGTGTGAGCCCAGGAGGCGGAGCTTGCAGTGAGCCGAGATCACGCCACTGACTGCACCATGACTGCACCACTGCACTCCAACCTGGGCGACAGAGCGAGACTCCATCTCAAACAAATAAACAAACAAACAAACAACAGCCAGGCAGGTATGCCTGTAATCTCAGCACTTTGGGAGGCCGAGGCAGGTGGATCACGAGGTCAGAAGTTCAAGAGCAGCCTGGCTAACACGGTGAAACCCCGTATCTACTAAAAATACAAAATTAGCCGGGTGTGGTGGCGCATGCCTGTGATCCCAGCTACTAGAGAGGATAAGGCAGAAGAATCACTTGAACCCAGGAGACAGAGGTTGCGGTGAGCTGAGATCACACCACTGCACTCCAGCCTAGGCAACAAGAGCAAAACTCCATCTCAAAAAAAAAAAAAAAAAAAAAAAAATTAATAAAGAGAGAAAAAAAGAAGAGAGCACACTGGGGAGGGTTGCAGGAAGCCATGGCTGCATACGCACAGTCCTCAGAGGCTGTGAAGCCTGCGCCCCTGTGAGCAGGTTCTCTTGGAGGGTGTAGATAACAGCTCACAACCTTATCCAGAGGCTCAGCCAGCCCTGGGGGCCACATGCCGGCCGCGAGCAGATAGGGGCTGCTTCTGCAGCACACCCTTTCCCCAGCCTCACCCATTCGGCCCCTCAGGGTGGGGGAATGGGGGGGTGGGGGACGCACCACATGCGCGGCCTCTGTTCTTAGTAGATTTTTTCCAAAGTTGTGCCTGCTGCCAATGCTGATGGACCACACAGAAACAGGGTCCTGGAAGGAGAGTGAGGTGCCCCTGAGGGCTCTGCAGCCTTCAGTCTCTGGGTCTAAAAAGGCTTTTTCCAGAGCCCTACCTGTGGGAATGCTCCAAGAGGAGCAACCCTTGGACTGCAGGTGAACTAGGTCCTTTGAGAAGCATGACACTGAAGCTGGAGGTTCCCCAAAAGGCAAATAGACAAGTGAGACAGGAAGGCCACTGTAAGGACACTGGCATCCCCCCGTCCCACACTCCATCCTTCACTCCAAGAGACACACTGGGTTTCTGCAACAAATTAAAAGCCCAGGCCAGGCACTGTGGCTCACGCCTGTAATCCCACCCTTTGGGAGGCCAAAGTGGAAGAACTGCTTGAGCCCAGGAATTTGAGACCAGCCTGGGCAACAAAGTGAGACCCTGTCTCTATAAAAAAATGCAAAAATTACTGGGTGTGGTGGTGTGCACCTGTAGTCCCAGCTACTCAGGACACTAAGGTGGGAAGATTGCTTGAGTCCGAGAGGTTGAGGCTGCAGTGATCCACGATCTCATTATCCTACCACTGTACTCTAGTCCGGCCAATGGGAGTGAGATCCTGTTTCAAAAAAAAAAAAAAGAAAACAAAAAAGTCTATAGTCCCAGCTCTTTGGGAGGCTGAGGTAAGGGGATCTCTTGAGCCCAGAAGGTCGAGGCTACAGTGAGCCATTGATCCTGACACTGCACTCCAGCCTAGGAGAAAGAGTAAGACCCTGTCTCAAAAAAAAAAAAAAACAAAGAAAGAAAGAAAGAAAATTAAAGGCCGGGCGCGTTGGCTCAAGCCTGTAATCCCAGCACTTTGGGAGGCCGAGACGGGAGGATCACGAGGTCAGGAGAGCGAGACCATCCTGGATAACACGGTGAAACCCCGTCTCTACTAAAAAATATAAAAAACTAGCCAGGCAAGGTTGCGGGCGCCTGTAGTCCCAGCTACTCGGGAGGCTGAGGCAGGAGAATGGCGTAAACCCGGGAGGCGGAGCTTGCAGTGAGCTGTGATCTGGCCACTGCACTCCAGCCTGGGTGACAGAGCGAGACTGTGTCTCAAAAAAAAGAAAATTAAAAGCCCACTACTCTGCCCCATTCCCACAAAAGGCAACGGGTTACCGACTGGCCTTCTGTTACCTTATTGACTTTGTTTTAAGACTGTATTAGGAGTCCACAAGGTTTAGGGTTCTGTTTTGTTTTTCTCACTCTACACATTCTCCTGGGAAGACCCAACCCAACCCCCAGCTTGGACAGCACACAGCATCCCCAAAATGCTCTCGTCTAGTACGCTCTCCTTGGCTCCAGGCCAAAACACATGTGCTTACTGCCCAGACGTCTCACAGTAACCTCATCGCCTTCTCCACACAGTGCCAGCCTGCTCCCTCCCTCCACACTCTGCATGGGGTGTGGCACTGCCCGCCACTCAATCCTGGAACATCCTCTCCTTCCTCTCTGGCTCTTCCCATCCTGCAGCCACTTGTCTCAGAGTCTTGCTCTCTTTTTTCTTCCGAAACAGAGGTGACCAGGCTGGAGTGCAGTGGCACAACCACAGCTCACTGCAGCCTGTGACTCCTGGGCTCAAGCGAGCCTCCTGCTTCGGCCTCCCAAAATGCTGGGCTTGCAGGTGTGAGCCCCCGGGCCCAGCTGAGTCTTGCTCCTTTCTGTGCTGATGTCTCTCTGGGTGTGCCATGACAGTCCCTCAACCGGCCATGGCCTCTGTGCGGCCCTTCACCTCCCTGGCCACCTCTGATCAGGTCACTCACAAACCCAAGATCTTCAGAGGCTTCATGCCACTCTGGGTGAATTCAAACTCCCAGGTGGCAATCAAGGCTTTTCCCAGTCTGCTGTCAGCCCAGCTCACTCACTTCACCCCATCTAACCCGGGACCACCACTGCCCTTCTCCCAAGAGCTGGTGGGCAGGCACCACGCCCGTCACTTTATATCCACTGTTCCTTTGGGGGAAGGCGCTTTCCCTCACTTGTTCTTGCCACTCCTGATCATCCTTCAAAATGAAGCTCAAGTCCGTCTCAGAGCCCCACCCCCACCACAATCCAGCTGGATGCCATGCCTTTGCGCCCACAGAAGGCTCTGTCCACCTCTGTTGGAGCTTCTACCTTGTGTTTATTCTCCTGTCTCCTCACTGCACTATAAGGTCAAGGGCAGAGACCAAGTCTTACTCAACACCGAATCCACAGAACGCACAGCGTGGTGCCTCCTATGAAGTGTGAATTCAATAAATGCATTTTTGTTGTTTCGTTTTTCAGAGACAGGGTCTCACTCTGTCGCCCTGGCTTGAGTGCAGTGGCACAATCACAGCTCACTGCAGTCTTGAACTCCCAGGCTCAAGTGATCCTTCTGCCTCATCTTCCCAAGTAGCTGGGACCACAGGCACATACCACCATACTTGGCTAATTTTTTATAGAGACGAGACCTCCCTATGTTGCCCAGGGTGGTCTCGAACTCCTGGGCTCATGCAATCCTTCCACCTCAGCCTCCCAAAGTGTTGGGATTACAGGCATGAGCCACTGCACCTGGCTTAATAAACGCATGTTGAAAGGATACAGAAAATCATTGAATAATGAATTCAAGTTGGTCCTCAGTAAAAAGCCTGAGGTTGTGTTTCTTTGATTTTATCTCCAATTGACAGGCAATGTTTGAAACAGCCACTGCAATTGCTGCTTTGAGTTGAAAAGGACTTCTTGGCCAGGCGTGGTGGCTCAAGCCTATAATCCCAGCACTTTGGGAGGCCGAGATGGACGGATCATGAGGTCAGGAGATCGAGACCATCCTGGCTAACACGGTGAAACCCCGCCTCTACTAAAAAAAAAAAAAAAAAAAAAAAAAAAAAAATTAGCCGGGCGAGGTGGCGGGCGCCTATAATCCCAGTTACTCGGTAGGCTGAGGCAGGAGAATGGTGTGAACCCGGGAGGCGGAGCTTGCAGTGAGCCGAGATCCTGCCACTGCACTCCAGCCTGGGCGGCAGAGCAAGACTCCCTCTCAAAGAGAAAAAAATAAAAAGAAAAGGACTTCTTTCTTCCATTTACAGAGTTGTCATAACAGAAAAGGCATGCGCAGACAGGGAAAACATTCAACAAGGTAAATGTTAAGTGCTTTTTTTATAACCTGCTTCATCGTCCTTATGTACTTTAAACGAGGAACCATCTAAAGGCAAACATTTAATATGTTTTCTGAGCTTGGCTCAATCTGCAGATAATTAAGAGCAACACTGCATGCCCAAGGTCACTCGAGCCTGCTGGACAATCCTGGCAGGTGTGGTCAGCGAGAGCTAGTAAGGCTACCCTGCAGGTGACTTTACAGACCCTGGGTGGCCAAATTTACTGTTGTTATGAAAACCCTGCCTAGATTACTTCTGCATCTCAGAAGGTCACCCTCAACCCAGTGGAAAGCAACTGCAATAGTTCACATCTATCATTCTGACAAAAGGACCTTGATCCACTTCAACCATCATGTAGAGAAAACCTCTGGCCCAGCCCTGGCCAGGCCAGGGGGAAGCAAAGATGAACAGTGTTGCTCCAGCCCCGTTCACAGGGAAAGACAGGCTTCTAAGTAGAGCAAGCACTCTCTAATTAGTACTCTATGTAAAGCCTTTATCTGAGTGCTCAGATTAGATGAGGATCAACCCTCAAAATAAAAGGCAGGGCACGCAGGGGTCATGCCACAGGCTAGGAACAGTAACTGTAAAATCTGCATAAGATTTCCTGATCTTCTCTTATCTGGATTGGTTTTTTTTCCCAGCCTGTGTTCCTTAAAATGAAAAGAACTGACTGCTTGTCTCCGCTGCAACTGAGCAAACATCTACAGGTGCCTACTGTGTGCTGAGGACAGACTGTGAAGACAGAGCCCAGGACCTCGGGTGGAGGAAACGGCCCACGTGCCAAATAATGGAACGGTTCCTTCTGCACATTGCCTGGAAGTCACCTGGTGACTCCGGAGCAAACACAGCAAAACAGGGAAAAATCACCCGCTAGTGCTTCTATCGCCCTGGAAGGGCAGGCTGACGCCCCCTTTCTGGAAAAAGCTGCTGGAGAAAGACAGTGACACCGGCTTCACAACCACAGCCACCAACCTAACAGTCCACCTGCACCTCCACACCACCCAGGTGGCTTTTAGACAACCTTTGGCCTTTAATATCACCCCCCGCAAGCAGTAACCCAGGGGTCCGAAGCGCATTTCCCTGAGGGGCACGGCCATCAAAGAAAGCCTGTGGCTAGCCCGCAGGGACTCCCGCCTGGAGGGGGCGGGAACAGGTGCAGCCCAGCCCAGGTGGGGCCGGCTCTCCCCTCCGCTGTGCTGGCTCGGAGCTGGGGGTCCCTGGCTCCCACCTCCCAGGGCCCGGAGGGCAGCGGCCGCCTGGCAAGGCGCACCCAGAGGGGCTCCCACTGGACAGGGCCGGGGGCTAGCGGACCCCCAAGCGGGTGGGCGGTGGGGGCGTGTGTCATCCCTGGGCAGGGCGGGGCGGGGCCCGGGGCTGCTCCAGGTCCACAGGGCAGGACTTATCAGAATCTGTTGCAATCTCACCGAGCCCCGAAGAGGATTTCCGACCCTGCGGAGACGGAAAACGCCCCAAGGAAAGAGTGACACAGTCACCCTTCCCGACGACACCATGCCCCGGGCCGAGTCGCGGGCCAGCGACCGGGCGGGGATCGGGCCTCGCACCCAGGGGGTCCCGCTCCTGGGCCCCCGCCCGTAGGCCAAGCCGCAGCTGCAGCGCCGGGCAGTGCCGGGCTCCGGAGCCCCCAACCAGCGCGTGGCCAGGGATCCCCGCCTCGAATGGGGCCCGCAGCCGGGACCCCACGTTCCCGCCCCCAGCACGCGTCGACTGCGGTGACAGCGGGGACCTGGCCGGGCCACACCGCAGCGCACCCCCCGCACACCCCGAGCGCACCCACCTCCGCGCGCCGCTTTCTCCTCAGCTCGCCGCGCCGGCCTTTCTGCGCACGCGCGCGCTGGGCCCCGCCCCCGCCGAGCTCTCGCCCAGTGCCGGCTCCTGTGCGCCCGCGGGCCTCGGGCCTGCCCGGCTCTGGGCATGCGCGCTGGTGGTCGGCGGCTGCTGCGGCGGAAGCAGGGGCCGGCTGAGGACCGGTCCCGCGCGGAGGGGAGGCAACTGCAGTGCGGTCCCGGGGAGACGAGCCAAGGGGGACGGGGGTCGGCAGGGACTTGCCGAGTGCATCGGGGGCCCGGACAGCTGCCTGTCGGAGTCGCCGCCTGGCCGGGTCACGCGTGGATCTGGAACCGCGTGGGCGCGACGTCCCTTCCCGAGCGGGGGGAGAAGGGCTGGAAGGGGGTTCTGGGACGGGCCCTGAGCTGAAGAGCCGTGGCGCCGAAGGTCAGAGACGCGGCGGAGAGAGGGATGGCCGGACAGAGCCCGCAGACGCGGACACAGGCGGCCAAGAAAGATGCGGGATCCGGCAGCAGACGCCGCGGGGCACCCGAACGTGGACGCCCAGCCTGCAGGGGCCAAGGCCACCGCCCTCGCGGGGCTGCAGAAGGCAGGGGACGCCCTGTCCCCCCATGGGGGTCCAAGGCGCCTGCGGTGGCCACAGTCTTTGGGGAGGTCAGCGCGCTCCCTGGCGGGTCGCTGCACGGGTGGGGGTGTGCATCACAGCGGCCCCGGGGATGATCTGAGATCCCCGAGAGGGCCTGGCATCACGAGGAATTCACAGCCTTCCGGGTATCACAGTGCCCCTGGGACAGGGCCAGCGGCCAGGGGGCAGGAGACCATAGGGTCCTCTGGGTGTGCCATATCACCCGCCTCTGTGCGGGGCGGGCTGTCGCTGCGCCGGTCACATCCCCCCGGGGCCAGACGGGAGGTACAGAGGGAGCTGCCGGCGGGGACGGCGGCGGCCTAGGTGGCGACACGCGCGACGCGAGCAAGGACTCCTGGCAGGCGAAGGCACCGGGTGAACGTGCGCCTGGATGTGGGAGCGGCGCCCGCCCTGCCCAGCCCGCGGGCTCAGGCGGCGCTGCAGCGCCCTCGCCGCTCACGCCGCTGCAGCCTCCGCAGGCGCCGCGTCCACGCGTCCCTCCAGGGAAGCACTAGGCTTCCGCGGGCGGCGCTGAGCCCGGGTCCCCGGCCCCCCGCGCCCCCAGCCGCGGCTCCAGGCCCGCCACCCAGCAGGAGGTAGCGGCGGCCAGGGAGTAGGCGCGGGCAGCCGCAGGCTGCATCCCCGGCGGGCACCCACAGCGCGCTGCTCCCGCGCCGAGCGCGCTCCTCTCCGCTCCGGAACACCGCGAGCACGGCCACCGGGAAGCGCGTCCACGCGCCGCGCGCCTCACCGCGCGCGCCCACCGCTACCTGCACCGCTGCGGGGAGAGTGAGAGGGGGTGGGGTCAGGAGGCGGCGGCCTGCCCGGGGTAGAGGGAGGCGTGGGGAGGACACCCGGAGGACAGTGCGGGCTGAAGGAGCGGGGCCGCCCCCCGTGGGGGACCTGAGGGATGAGGATGGATGGGCCTTGGGGCCCAGCAAGGGTCAAGGCGTTCCAAGAGGAAGCTGGCGGAGGAGGGAAGGTCCGCGGGAGGCCTGAGGGCACCTACCATAGTCCTTCCTGCAGAACTTCTTTAGGCTGATGCGGTAGTTGCCACGGGCAGGTTTGCAGTGCAAGTCACAGTCTGGGTAGAGGGTGGGAGGCTGACAGACTCCCCTGCCCCCCTTTCCCCACCGTCTCCTCCCAGAGCCCCTTCACCCAAAGTCATGCCCGTCTGGGGCCCTGTCCTGTGGCCACTCACCCTGGGGCTGCACAGGGCTGCTGTCCTCAGTGGGTCCAGGGATAGGGGTCTCTGCAGAGAGGGAGGGAGAATGGCCTGCGATGGAGGAGCAGAGAGATCTGCAGGGCTCAGGGAAAAGACGGGACAACAGCAGGGAGCTTGGGTGGCCTTGGCTTGGTGGCTGAGGCAGGGCAGGGTCACTCACTAACACAGGGCGCCACTGGGGAGCGGCTCTGCTGGAAGCCAGGTGCGCAGCGGTTGCAGGTGAGGCCAGTGACGCCATCCTTGCAGGGACATTGGCCTGTGGTCTGGTTGCAGGTCTTGCCAGCAGCACCAACGGGGTGACAGTCGCAGGCTGAGGAGAGGTGGGAAGGGCCTAGTCAGAAGCCTGTCTGGGGATCTGGGAAGCCAGAGGATGAGGGCCCGCAGGTGGCTGGTGGTGGGCTCACCCCTACAAGCCCGACGGTCACTCAGGGCACGGCCAGGGTCTCGATAGAAGCCCTCCCGGCAGTAGTGGCAGTGGCGGCCAGCGGTGTTGTGTCGGCAGTTGAGACAGACACCCCCGCTGCGGCGGCCGGACAGTCGGTACAGCTCCATGTTGAAGCGGCAGCGGCGGGCATGGCCATTGCAGGAGCAAGCTGCAGGGAGAGATGGGTCAGGGGCAGACTGGTTGGGTCCAAGGTCCCCAGGCCACCCTCCAAGGCCTCACCGAGGCAGGCGTGGGATTCCCGGGCAGTGGCCCGCTGCCATGGCCTGTCGCAGTAGAAGGGCTTGCAGCGGCCGCAGTCAGGGCCCTCGGTGCCATGCCGACAGTCGCAGATCAGGTGGCCCTGTGTGTCCAGCAGGCACCGTGAGGCATGTCCATTGCACTTGCAGCGCCCGCCCACCTGGAGGTCAGTGGCTGCGTAGGAGTAAGGGACGATGGCCTCCATGTCCCTGGGGTCACCCGCCGCGCTAGGCCTTGTGAGCACTACACGGATGTCGGTGGCGGTCACCCAGTCTTGGAGCACTGGGCTGCTGTCCAGGTCCAGGCCTGGGGGGCTGCTGTCCTGCACGCTGAAGGCCAGAAGGCCGCTGCCATCAGGCTGGGCCTGGGGTGCAGGGAAGCACAGGGCCTCAGGCCCTGGGCCAGCTGGGCCATCGGCAGGGGCAGGCAGACGGCCATAGTCCAGGTCACAGTGGGAGGAGAAGAAGCCCAGAGGGGCCCAGCTGCGGCCATGGTCCTGTGACTTGAGCAGGGCTACGGAGGCTGGGGGAGCTGAGCAGAAGCGCAGGCTCACGAAGACCAGCTCGAAAGCCTTGCCCAGGGGCACCGTGAGAGTCACGTTGAGGGGTGCCCGAGGCAGCCACTCTGAGCGCCAGCACAGAGGGCTGGCCGTGCCCCCTGGGGAAGTCAGGAGGGCGGGGGGGTGTGCCCGTCGCGGGTCGGAGGCGTCGCAGGCCCGAGTGGCCGGCCGCCCGCACGTGCTGGACGCCAGCACCTCGCGGCCCAGGGCGGCGTTCACCAGGCCCGGCACGCAGCCCCGGGGCGCGCCCCCCTCATCGTGGCAAGGGTCGGCGGGCGCCGGCGGCCCAGGGCTCAGGGCGGCGAAGAGCGTGCCTGCCGTCAGCAGCAGCCCCCAGGGCCAGCCAGGCATGGCCGGAGCCGCTGCGGGTCAGCCAGCGGCCGGGCCCCAAGACGCTGCCCTCGGGGAGAAGAAGCCCCCTCCGCGGCTCTGCCCACTAGGCCCCGCAATGCCGAGGAACAGGGCCCCCGGGCGGCCTCAGCCCGGCCCAGTGGTGGGAGCAGCGGCGGGCACGCCCCGGGCTCAGCACAGCAGCAGGGATGTTGGCGCGTCCTCCCGCTGGGCCTAGAGCGATGACAGGCGTCGCCCCGGCTCCCGGTGCCTCAGTCCGCGGAGGCCCCACCCGCCGCTCGCACTCACCCACCGAGGGCCGGGCGGAGCAGGTCTCCCGGCCTCCCGGGAAGGACCGTGGGCGGGCGGGGCCTGCGGTGCACGGGCCGCCGCCTCCTCCCGGCTGCAGCGAGGGCGGACGAGCTGTGCCAGGAGGGGGTGGGGGGCGCAGCAGGCGCAAGCCAGGGCCCAGCCGGGGGCGGGGCTGCTCCGGTCGGGAAGGAGGGAGGGGAGGGGAGGGGGCCTCATCGGCAGAGCTGGAATCAGAAGCAGATTCAGACGCGGGCTGGGCCAGCGGGGAAGGGGGCTGGGAGGCCCGGGAGCCAGGGGAGGGGCCGGGGAGCCAGGAATGCGCTGGCGGGAGGGGTCTGGAGGGGGGCAGCTCAGCCTTCGCAGCCCGTGGAGGACCACCCAGCAGGGTCCTGGGCCCACAGCCAGGCCTTTACTGCTCCTGGGGCTGTGCCACGTGCTGGACGGGGGTCTGGGCCACCTCCTCCCTGAAGCCCATCAGGCAGGCAAGACCCGGGTCTGACAGCAGAAGGCCGGGATGCTCCCTGGGTAGGGAAGCCAAGTAACTACCAGTTGAAGGGTCATCCCCAAAGCAGCATCTACTGGAGTAGAAAGAACCCAGGATTGGGTCAGGTCTAATTTTGAATCCAAACTGCTCCATTTCTGGCTGCATAGCTTGGGGTCCTTTTTCCTCATCCGCCAGACGCCTGTTACTCACCAGGCTCTCTGAAGCTGTGGGATTTGATGAACCCGAAGTAGTATCAGGCCCAAGTCTGGAGCTGCACAGACTGGAGTGTCTCCTGTCTGTGTTGAGGAAGGGGGGCACCCCTGTGGGCCTGAGCTGGGCTAAGACATGAGGCCACCCCCTCTTTTCTTTTCTCCACCATCGCGATGTGTTCTTGCCTCTGCTTCTCGCCATGTCTTCTCACAAGACTTTCAGGATTAAGCGATTCCTGGCCAGGAAACAAAAGCAAAATCGTCCCATTCCCCAGTGGATTCAGATGAAAACTGGAAATAAAATCAGGTACAACTCCAAAAGGAGACATTGGAGAAGAACCAAGCTGGGTCTGTAAGGAATTACATGAGATGGCACACATATTTGTGCTGTCTGAAGGTCACGATCACATTACCATATCAAACTGAAAATGTCACCACTATCTGGAGAGTTCGACGTGTTTTCCTCTCTGAATCTATTATGAATGCGTTGGTTGGCTGAGTTCAGTAATAAATATGTGAGGCCTTTCATTTCAAAAAAAAAAAAAAAAAGACATAAGGCCAGCATCCCCTGCACCAGGCCAGACTCTGATCCCAAAGCTCCCCGGGTCTGCAAGTTTCTAGTTGCATCTCTGCCGTGGGCCCAGCTGGCAGAGGACATGGAAGCTGGAGGGTGGGATGGGGTGGCTCCTTGGGGTTCAGGGACTTGGTTAGCTGTTGAGGACCTCTCTGCAGGGGCAGGAAGTAGGGTTTAATCATGGGAAGGGGCTGGTGGCAACCTGGAGCCCACTGCCCCACGTCGCAGCACGTTTGGGCAGGGAAACTGAGGCAGAAGCCCAGCTGGGTGGCCTGGGGACTAGCTGGGGATGGGGCAGCTGTGCCTGGGAGCGACACCACCAAAGAGGGTCCAGGGACAGCTCTGGTCAGAGAAACCTCCTCCCCTCCTACTTTTAGGTCCCTGACAGAGGAGGCCAAGCCTCCCAGGGCGGGGCAGGGAACAAGTTCCATGCAGGGGCATCATCGAGGCCTGAATGTCCCGTTTCAGATGGGAGGCCAGGCCTGCAGCTGGTGGAGGGAGCTACGTGCGTGCTACCCTGGACACGGCCAGAGATGAGCAAGGACCAAGAGGAAGAGGATGGAGAGGCAGAAGCATCACACTGTTTGGGAGAGGAGGGACAGGAGGACACAGAAGCCTCCCAGGAGAAACTGAAGGACCAGAGGAGGGAGTAGGAGGGCCTGACCATGGAGGGGAGGAACGGGAAGACAGAGTGACAGGGCACCTGGCTTGGCTCCTGGAGCAACTGACACTGGTTGGTGGGCACCTTCTCCTGGCCACACATCTGCGTGTGACAGCCACAGATGCACAGGGATGGGGGCATGGGAGGACTGAGCAGAAAGGGCTGGGGGGCTCTCTCTCTACCATAGGGCCTCTGCCCCTCAGCTCCCTGATAAAGAGAATGGGAATTGTGTTCTTGACAAGGTGAGGGACCTGAATCTGACAGGGCTCACGCTTAGTCAAACTTAGAACCTGAAACTCTCAACCACCCTCTTCAAGGTCCTTCTGGCTCCCAACCCCCACCTCCCGCCACCCCACCCTAAGGGTGGGAGGAACCCTGGGGGAGTATGGGGGCTGAGATCATCATTCTGGGACAGTAGAGAGAAAAGCCCAGGCCTGACAGAGGGGTCCCACTGGCCAGAGACAAGCCTCTGGGGAAACCCAGGCTGTCTCTGGACGTCAGGGCCACTGCCAGAGCAGGGCCACTGCCAGACTGGCCGCCAGCCAGGCTGCAGGAGGGACAGTGGCCAGCATCCTCTTCCACTCTCATCAGAGGGGCCAGCTTTGTCTCCAGCTCAGCTTCCCTGTGAGCCAGGACTGGGGTCTGCAGAACGTCTGGTGGCTTCTGGGGTGAGGGAAAGTAGGTGCCTGGTGCTCAGCCCTGGTGCAATTGTTCATCTGGGTCAGCAGAGGTCGAGGGAGGCCCTGTAGGCCCAGAGGGCCATTGTATCTCCAGCTCCCCAGGCAGGAGGCCGCTGGCCACAGAGCCTCTCCCCAGGAACAGACCTCTGCACACGCTACTCTGCCCCCACCCCCAAGCCCTCACAGATGGTGTTTGGAAGTTAGGGAGGGCCTCCCCACAGCCCCCAAGCGGGACTTATTGCTCTCCAGGGACCCAGCCACCTGTCCCAGCCTCTGGCTGGGGCCTCTCCCACCTCCCACCTCTCCACTGGTCCTGCCCCCTCCTGGCACCTTCTGTAACAAAGAAGCTCCGCCTCCCCTCCCCCCACCTGCAACTCAGGCTGCAGTGCTTGGCCTCCCCCACCCCACCCCACCCCTGCCCCTAGAGCGGCAGCTCCAGCTTTGGGACACAGGCTGGGGTGAGGGCATAGAGGGGCTGGACAGTCCCAGGCAGCAGGGAGCTGAGAGTCTTTCCTGTAAGATGCCCATTGATCCAATAATTCCCCGCCCAGCCTAGAACCTGCTGTTTCCCCGCAGACGCCTGCAAGCCACCACTTATTCACCTATTGCACATTTATTGAGCGCCTATTATGCCTCGGGGGGTTTCCAACCGAGCCCCGAAGGCAGACAGCCCAGGAGCGGACACAGCGCTGGCTCCCAGCGGCGAGTGGTGTGGCCGAACCCGCGTCGCGGTGCCCTGCACCCAGCACCCTCGCGCCAGGTCGATCTCCGAGCCGCGCAGACCGCTGCCCAGCCAGGCCGCTCTGCGGTCGCGCCAGCTCTGCGCGCCAAGTCAAAAGCTGAAATGCGACGTTGGACGGAGGGAGGAGAGGGAAAGCAGAAAGGGAGGGAGGGAAACGGCCGGTGGCCTCCTCTGCCCAAAGGGTTCCAGAAGAAACAATTTGGGGATGGGGTATGGGAGGCGGCCTCTGCGACCGCGCTTGGCACTGCGCCCGCCCGGTCGGGGAGAGGTCGGAGGGAGGGGCGACCGGCTCGCGGTGACCTCGATGGGAGGGGGCCTTGCCCGCGGCTCAGGGCGCCCCCGGCTCCCTGCGCCCGGCCCTTCGCCTCCGCCGAGCGCGCCAGCACAGGAAGGCGGCGGTCAGGAGCCCCAGGCCCGCACTGAGCGCGGCCAGCGACGAGCCCTGGGCCAGGTCCAGGCGTGGTCCCCGCAGCGAGAAGGTGATGGCTGGTGGGGGCCACGGCACCGAACGGCAGAATGCAGCGCGGCCACGAGCCCCCCGCGCCGCCGGTGGCCAAGAGCAGGGCGCGCAGGACCCCGGGGGGCTCCGGGTGCACCAGACCCGGCCCAGGTGGCGAGGCGGGCGCCGCGTGCGGAGGCTCGGGCGCGCTCATGCCGCCAACCCGGTGGCCGCGCTCGGTGGGTGGTGTGGACGCCCGCGCAGTCCCAATGGCGTTCCGGGCTCGCCACGTCAGAGCCCATTGGCTCCAGAGGTGGTGACGCCAGCTGGGAGCCCGGGGAGTCAGCAGCTGCCTCTGGGTTTTGGCGGGGAATCGGGGTGGGCGGGCGTCAGTCGCAGGAGGAGACCTGTCTTTCCTGCCCTGGACCCCTGTGTCGGGGCCTCCCCAGGACCCCCACAAAGCTATCTAGGCCGCCTCCCTGCTCCAGGAAACCACTGTCCTCTGGATTGGCCCCGGGATTGGTGGATCATTGAGTCAGTGCATGTCTGGCTCCCATCAGGGCCTGACCAGGGTAGAGGGGGACAGCACCCCTGTCCTCCTGAGGTAAACATCCAGTAGGCATGGGGGATGAGCCAAGTCAGCTAGTGAAATAACGCTGGGTAGAGACCACTTGCTCTGGAAAGCCACACGGGTGTACAGTCCGGGTGTGGTTGGGGCTTCAAGTAAGTCAGCGGCTCCTGCAGATAGAGGCACCTGGGCATAAGCCTGGAGGCAGCAATGGGGTGGCTGGGAGGGGCGAGGCTGGCTGATCTGCACAAGGGGTGTGACCCTGGGGCTGCTGCCAGGCTGCAGGGGCAGGGGGTGGAGCTGCTCTGTCCCTGGAGGTGCCCCCTCAATGCAATGAGGATCATGGTTTTTGGTTTCCTGCCTTGGTCTCTGTCATCTGGTCCCCAGCAGCCCTCAACTCGGGACTCTGGGTCTGAGCATGTTTCTGGCCTGCGGGACTGTCAGGCCCTTTACAAGCAGGACCTACCTGCGATGCTTCATCTGGTTCTCAGTAGACCCAGCTTTCTCCGAGTGCCACCCACCTTCTGTCCTGCTGCCCTGTCCAGGGGGGCACCTTGGGGAAGCGGCTGGTAATCTTCCCTGTCGCAGATACCTGCCCACAGCTGGGCTTGGTGGAGCTCCCTCGCCGTCCACACAGAGCACTTGGCCCCAACTCCCAAATGTTTGGGATGCCTCGGGCCCTCAGTGCAGGTTCGTTTAAAGAACACTATGAGCACTGAACATGGCCAGCACCAGGGCCTTTGCAGCCAGCAGTTGTTTTTTTTTTTTTTTTTTTGAGACAGAGTCTCGCTCTGTCACCCAGGCTGGAGCATAGTGGCACAATCTTGGCTCACTGCAACCTCTGCCTCCCAGGTTCAAGTGATTCTCCTGCCTCAGCCTCCTGAGTAGCTGGGACTGCAGGCACCCGCCACCATGCCCAGCTAATTTTTTTGTTTGTTTTGAGATGGAGTCCCACTCTGTCACCCAGGCTGGAGTATAGTGGCACCATCTTGGCTCACTGCAACCTCTGTCTCCTGGGTTCAAGCGATTCTCCTGCCTCAGCCTCCCAGGTAGCTGGGACCACAGGTACATGCCATCACACCCAGCCAACTGTTTGTATTTTTATTAGAGACGGGGTTTCACCGTGTTAGCCAGGATGGTCTCGATCTCCTGACCTCGTGATCCGCCCGTCTCGGCCTCCCAAAGTGCTGGGATTACAGGCTTGAGCCACCGCGCCCGGCCTCAAACTCCTGACTTCAAGTGATCCGCCCGCCTTGGCCTCCCAAAGTCTCAAACTCCTGACCTCAGGTGATCCGCCTGCCTCATCCTACCAAAGTGCTGGGATTACAGGTGTGAGCCACCGCGCCCGGCCTGTGGCCAGCACTTGAGATGCAACAAGTAATCTCTGCCGGCCCCTAAGGTCATCACCACCATCACCCAGCATGACAGTGGGGACAAACCTGGACAACTGGGGCTGAGTCCTTGAGAATCCTGCCCAGTCCCAGGGCCAAAAACAAGTCATTTTGCAAACCCACCTCTGTGGTTGCAGAGGGCCCAACCCTGACCCCTGCTCTTTCCTGCCTTCATGGGGAAGGGAAGGAGGCTCAGAGGAGGTGAGAGTGGAGTGGCTAAAGGGTGAAGAGGTAAAAGGCCCTTCCTGGTGGAAGCCATGTGAACCGGTGACCCCACAACCGCCCCAGCGACAGCGCCAGGAGGGGGAGCTGGGTGTGGGTACCAGCAGACAGTGGGAAGCAGAGCTGGGTGGCTGTGGCAGAGACAGTGACTGGCCTGTTCTCCAATATGGCCTTGTGGTTTTCGTGTCCTCCAATGAATGAGTATAGCCTACAGCCTACAGAGGGTGGGGCTTTCAGCAGTGCTGGGCCCACCTTGAGTGGCCTTGTCCCGTCCTTTATACAGAAGGGATATCGAGACAGGGTCTCGCTCTGTCGCCCAGGCTGGAGCACAGTGGCACAATCATGGCTCACGGCAGGCTCAAAGTCCTAGGCTCGGCCGGGTGCGGTAGCTCATGCCTGTAATCCCAGCAATTTGGGAGGCCGAGGCGGGCGGATCACGATGTCAGGAGTTCAAGACCAGCCTGGTCAAGATGGCAAAACCCCGTCTCTATTAAAAAACTACAAACATTAGCCAGACGTCGTGGCACGCACCTGTAATCCCAGCTACTTGGGAGGCTGAGGCAGAATAATTGCTTGAACCCAGACGGCAGAGGTTGTAGTGAGCTGAGATTGCGCCACTGCACTCCAGGCTGGGTGACAGAGAAAAAAAAAAAAAAGTCCTAGGCTTAAGCGATCCTCCCGCCTTAGCCTCCCAAGTACTTGGGATTACAGGCAGACATGCCATGCCCGGCTCATTTTAAAATTTTGTGTAGAGATGGGGTCTCACTATTGTACAAACTGGTCTCAAACTCCTGGCCTCAAGCAGTCCTCCCACTTCAGCCTCCCCAAGTGCTGGGATTACAGGCGTGAGCCACCACATCCAGCCCATTTATAATCTTGATAAATACACTTGATATATTCCTTTTCAGCATGACATGTATCAACCAGTGATGTAACTTGATAAACAAAATCATAAAGAAACAAAGGCCCAGGCCGGGCGCAGTGGCTCACGCCTGTAATCCCAGCACTTTGGGAGGCCGAGGCGGGCGGATCACAAGGTCAGGAGATCGAGACCACGGTGAAACCCCGTCTCTACTAAAAATACAAAAAATGAGCCGGGCGCAGTGGCGGGCGCCTGTAGTCCCAGCTACTCGGGAGGCTGGGGCAGGAGAATGGCGTGAACTCAGGAGGCGGAGCTTGCAGTGAGCCAGGATCACGCCACTGCACTCCAGCTTGGGTGACAGAGCAAGACTCCGTCTCAAAAAAAAAAAAAAAGGCCGGGCGCGGTGGCTCACGCCTGTAATCCCAGCACTTTGGGAGGCCGAGACGGGCGGATCACGAGGTCAGGAGATCGAGACCATCCTGGCTAACACGGTGAAACCCCATCTCTACTAAAAAATACAAAAAACTAGCCGGGCGAGGTGGCGGGCGCCTATAGTCCCAGCTACTCGGGAGGCTGAGGCAGGAGAATGGCGTGAACCCGGCAGGCGGAGCTTGCAGTGAGCTGAGATCCGGCCACCGCACTCCAGCCTGGGTGACAGAGCGAGACTCCGTCTCAAAAAAAAAAAAAAAAAAAAAAAGAAACAAAGGCCCAAGTCCCACCTTGGCATGATTTAAATACATATGCTTTCAGCCAGGCGCAGTGGCTCACACCTGTAATCCCAGCACATTGGGAGGGCGAAGTGGACCACCTGAGGTCAAAAGTTTGAGACCAGCCTGGCCAACAAGGTGAAACCCCATCTTTACTAAACATAAAAAAAAAAAAAAAAAAAAAAAAAAGCCAGGCGTGGTGGCTGGAGCCTGTAATTCCAGCTACTTGGGAGGCTGAGGCAGGAAAATCACCTGAACCTGTGAAGCAGAGGTTGCAGTGAGCCAGGATCATGCCACTGCACTCTAGCCTGGGCGACAGAGTGAGACTGTCTCGACAAAAATAAGTACAAATGCTTTCTAAAGTGGCTTTAATATCACACAAGCAGCTCTTTGGTTTACACTGAGAGAAAACAGAGGGAGCCAGGAAAGGCTCCCCGCTGGCCTCTGGAGTCCAGGAGCCTTGGGAAGGCTGAAAGTCAGCCCTGACCAGCAGGCTTAGTTGTCCTGAGAAGAGCCACTGAGGCCACCTGGTCCAGTTCACCAGGTCTCCCAGGGAAGCACAGGCATCTCTGGGTCCCCAAGCACAGTGCCAGAGAAGACACTCCCAATACCCATCTGAACAGGGCTGAGGGGATGCTCCCTGGCAGGCCAGCGCCCAGGTGGTCCTGAGGCCTGGTGGGTGCAGCATGGGAAAGGCTCAGTCCACAGGTTCATCTCGCAGGATGGTGAGGACACGTGCGCCTCCCTCGCAGAGCAGGCTGTGTGCAGCCCGGCACAGGGTCAGCCAGGACGGCCCCTCCGGCTGTGCAGCACTTACCAGGGGGAGGAGTTCAGCCATCAGGACCTGGGGGCAGGGCAGGGCCAAGGTCTCAGGGGCACCTAGGCTGGGGGCAATCCTGGGACAAGCTTTGAAGCCCCCATGCTTCAGCCCCTCCCTCCTGCCATCCCTAGCTCAGTCTGGCCCGTGCACTTCCCAACCCACACACACAGACCCCAGGCTTGCCCCCATTTTCCTGGGTTCTGGGGGGTGGAGCAGTCAAGCCCCTACCCTCAGGTCCTCCTCAAGGCTGCAGACCTCTGTTGCACCCCCATCTCCTCTTCCAGAAGCACCTTTTCCAAGTGGATCTGCTGGTCCAGCACGGCCACTCGCAGCTTGAGGGCCGCCAGGGTCTGCAGCTCCTGGGTGCTGGAGTAGACAAGCAGCTGGGGGCTCCATGTAGGCTCCGCTCCGCCCCCACAGGACGGCGAGGCTCTGGGGGGCCTCCCCACAGGACACGGTAATGGTGGCCGTTCCGCCACCGCTGTGGGCACAGGAGAATGTGGTCTTTGGGGTGGCAGCCGAAACCGCGGCCCCGCTTTTCCTGTTTGCCTGGCTCTCCCAGGCATCTGCACCACTTGCCCTGCCTTTAGGGGAAAGGTGGGCTTTTAGGACAGTCCCGTGCAAGATGGTGTGTCTTGAGCTTGGACTTGCTGGCAGGGAGTCCTCTGTGGGGTGGCCCTCTGTCTGCCTTATTTCTTTACTGCGTTTATGCACGACTTTTGTGAGACTGGCTTTCCTTTTGACAAATGGTGTATTTTCACTCTTAAAACGTCAAGCAATTAGAAAATACAAAGGAGGAAACAAGTTCTATAAATAAACACCTTCCGGGAGCTGATTCTCATGAGCTACTTTCTGTTTTTTTTTTTTTTTTTTTGAGATGGAGTCTCACTCTGTCACCCAGGCTGGAGTGCAGTGGCGCAATCTCAACTCACTGCAACCTCTGCCTCCCGGGTTCAAGCAATTCTCGTGCTTGTCTCCCAAGTAGCTGGGATTACAGGCGTGCACCATCATACCCAGCTAATTTTTGTATTTTTAGTCGAGATGGGCTTTTACCATTTTGGCCAGGCTGGTCTTGAACTCCTGACCTCAAATGATCCACCTGCCTTGGCCTCCCAAAGTGCTGGGTTACAGGCGTGAGCCACCATGCCCGGCCTCACACACTACTTTTTCTTTTTGTTTTTGAGACGGGGTCTCACTCTGTCACCCAGGCTGGAGTGCAGTGGCACAACCTCGGCTCACTGCAAGCTCCTCCTTCCGGGTTCACACCATTCTCCTGCCTCAGTCTCCCAAGTAGCTGGGACTACAGGCGCCCGCCACCACGCCTGGCTAATTTTTTGTATTTTTAGTAGAGACAAGGTTTCACCGTGTTAGCCAGGATGGTCTTGATCTCCTGACCTTGTGATTCGCCTGTCTTGGCCTCCCAAAGTGCTGGGATTACAGGTGTGAGCCACAGTGCCCGGCCCTCACATGCCACTTTTTCAACAACTGGGTGAATAAGCAACAGTTCAGAGCAGTGAGGTTGTGTGTGTGGGGAGCAGCGAGGTAGGGGAGCTGCCCTGAGGAGGAGAGGAGGGCGGCGGGGGAGGGGGGGTCACCAACTTGCATCTGGTCCCTGGGCTGCTCACCTTTCACTGAGGTGCAGACAAGGCTGGCTAAAGCACCCTGTACCTGGCCCAGACCTCAGTGCAGGTGGCAGGGTGGGGGTGGAGTCTCACCTGCACGCAGTTCCTGCAGCTTCTGCAGACACTGGCCCACCATGGCCTGCAGGCCCTCCAGCGTGAGCAGGCAGCGGTACTCCTGCATCCAGTCCATGGGGGCTGCAGAAGAGTCAGGGAGGGCAGGTGGGGTCCGTGGCAGTCTGGAAACCCTCCCTGCACTAGCCCTCCATGCTCCTCCCGAGACAGACCCAGGACCCACTGACCTGCCGAGAGTTCCTCCCTCACACGTAGTCTCAGCAGTGAACAGGCCTTCCGCAGGCGCCTCGCCTCCGCCTCCACTTCCGCGGCACTGAGCCTGGGCTGGGACCCGCCTGACTGGATATGGGTCAGGAAAACTTTCCTGCAGCCAAGCCCCTCTGCTCCCACCAAGGACAGGGCCTGGAGAGTGGCCCTAGCCATCCCACACCAGCCCCTCCTGGGGCTGCTCCACAAACCTGCCAGGTTCAGAGCCAGAGGCCCCCCAGGCTCCCACAAGCCCAGCAAGGATACAGCTGTCTGTATGTTCCGGAGGAACTGGGTTTTGGCGGCAGCGGCATCCATGGAATCACTGGTCTGCATGGAACTCAGCTGGGCCCACAGGCTGGGGTGCACACGAGGGGCGCCCCAGGAACCACAGAGGGACACGGTTATTCCAGCTGGTGAGCTGGGCCTTGGGAGGTAGGCAAGGGCCAGGGTGGGGACCCCAGGCTGGGCATCTGGCTCTGCTGAATGCCTGGAGGGGTCTCCAGAGGCCTCAGGGAACCAAGAGGACACTGACCAGAACAAGGGGACAGAGCTGACAGGCTGGCAGACTTTTAACGTCGACAGTGACCCCACTCAGCAAAGAAGGCAAAGAGACCCACTGGAAAGTATCTCGAACCTGTACCCGAGCTGGTGATGCCTCCAGGTTCTCCCCTACCCCTGTCCAGCCAAAGACCTCAGCCTCACCTCGAGTTCTGGGAAGCCGCTTTCCTGAATGCCGCAGGCAGCCGCAGCAGGTGCCTGTCGGAGAAGCCGGTGTTCAGAGGAGCATTGCCTTGCTCTGGGGTCTACAACTCCCATTTCCTGCTCAGAGCCCAATCAGGCATGAGGCTTCTTGCCCCTTTCCCACACCCGACCCCACCAAGGATAAGCCCCCTTGGATAGGGCTTCCAGAGCGGCCATGGGAGAAGCATGGTCCAGTGCTGTCCCAGTAGAGAGAAGAAGGGGCCCCGTGAGCAGAGCCCACACCCTCCAGAGCCCATCTGCAGCCTCTGGCCTGGGCAAATAAGGGGACAGCCACAGAGGAGAGGGCAGGACAGGCTCTAGTACTTCCCTGTCCTGATGGTGCCGACCTGGACACCACCACACAGCTGCTTCATTCTGCCAGCTTCTGAGCACAAGCCTCAGGGGTGCATCCCAGGGCTCAATGCCCTGCCCTGTGACCCTAAATCCCAGGCTCCTTGCTAGCCAGGGTCTGAGGAGGCAGAGACAGAAGTCCCTCCAGTGAGGGTCTGGGAAACCTACCCCTTTTCCTTGAGTGTGAAGGCTTCTGGGGCCTGAGGAGCAGCCGATGGGGCCATATGCTGGTTCCTGAGACCCACTCCAGGCCTGGGGGCTCGGGCTCCTATCCCAGCACGGGTCCTATCCCGCAATGACGGCAGCCGGCGCTCAGGGCGGCCCTTGGCAGGCACTGTGGTCTGGCGGAGGCCCTTGGTGGGTCTCCTGTCTGAAGCATGGCCACCAGCTTGGCCTGGGGACTGGGGTGGGGTGGAGGCTGTCGTGCCAGGAGAGGTGACAATGGACCTAGGTTTCAGGCTGGGGGCCTTGTTTCTTTCTCCAGCCTTAGTGATGCCTCTTCGAACCCGAACAGCCTTCTCCAGTGCCTGGGTCAGAAACTCCAACTCTTTGAGGTCTTGTGGACTGGGTGTGCATGCTGTGAAAGCCAAGAATTACGCAGGGATCTCTCCCCACTGTCCCCCAGGAGGGTCCCTCACAACTGCGCTCCAGAAGACCAGAACAGCACCTGGATTAGGTGGGTGGTGGAGGTTTACCTGGAAGGGGGTCCTCTTCATTAGTTTCTGGCTCTGGAGGTGGCTCCCAAGCCCAGGTCCCGGTTGGCTCCCTACAAAGACATGGGCAGCCGTCGCACGGCCAGGAGGCAGGGCCCAGCCCAAACAGACGCAAGGGGGCTGCCCGGCCCCGCGGCAGTCCCCCAGCTCAGAGCTTGCAGGGTACGGGGGGTGGCACTGACAACCTATAGCTCCGAAGTGGGCGGCTGCGCCCGGTCTCCCAGCCACGGGACCTCGGGGCAGGGCTCTGAGGGGCCGAGGGAGGTCTGGCCAGAGGGTCCCGGGGTCCGCGTACCAGGCCTGCAGCAGCCGACGGCAGACGCGCAGGCTCTGCTCCAGTTGCAGCTGTCGATGTGCGCAGGCGTCCAGGGCGCCCTGCAGCTCGGCTACCAGCCTGGGGGACGCACCGGCGGCTCATCACCTCGGCCAGCGTCGGGCCTCGGGCCCCGCGCCTGACTGCCAGCCCGCCCGCGTCCTCCCGCCCCCTCCCGCCGCGCAGGCCTCACCGGCGCGAGCAGTCCGCGGGCAGCATGAAGGCGGCGGTGTCTCCTTGCAATTTGCCGCCTCTGAAGAGCCACGCCCCTTCCGGGCGGGAAGGCCGCCCCTTCCCGGCCGGGCTGCCCAATCCTGAACCGGGGCTCCGGGGCCGCCCCCGAAGCTTTCTCTCCCTCATTGCGGGCGAGCCTCAAGCCCCACCCACTCCTGCCCCCTAGGTCTCCGAGGCCGCCAGGGAGGGGACTGCGGGCGACGCCGGGATTTTGGTTTGGGTAACTGGGTAGATGGGGCCGCCATTATCGCGCTTCTCTTGTAGGGCGCCTGTGATGGTTATACGAGAGGCTCCATCTGTCCTGATTGAAAGGGCTCTACCGCGGCCGGGCGCGGTGGCTCACGGCTGTAATCCCAGCACTTTGGGAGGCCGAGACGGGCGGATCACGAGGTCAGGAGATCGAGACCATCCTGGCTAACACGGTGAAACCCCGTCTCTACTAAAAAATACAAAAAACTAGCCGGGCGAGGTGGCGGGCGTCTGTAGTCCCAGCTACTCGGGAGGCTGAGGCAGGAGAATGGCGTAAACCCGGGAGGCGGAGCTTGCAGTGAGCTGAGATCCGGCCACTGCACTCCAGCCTGGGCGACAGAGGGAGACTCCGTCTCCAAAAAAAAAAAAGAAAGTGCTCTACCGCAGGGACCCGCCGTCCTGCTGACGCCCGGGCCAACGAGTGCTGACGCCCGGGTTGCTGGAGGTGAGGATGCCGCCTGTCAGGAGCGGGGATGAGGGAGGAGAAAGTGTTCACTTTTGGACATGTGACGTGATAGCACTGGGCAGAGGGGAGGAAGCTCAGACCTTGGAGCAGTGGGCCCGGCGAGGTGGCCCTTGGTGGGGCAGGGGACGGGTAGGGACAGGTGACGGGGCCCAGGCAATGGCCAGGGAGGTGGAGCAGCAGTAGGACAGTGTCACAGAGGCAACAGGAGGCTGTCGCGGGAGGGACTGGGTCACAGGCCAAGCGCTGCTGAGGTCTCGGCGGTGTACACAGCACCGGGGGGTGGGAGGGTCGGCGGACAGGGCCTTCAGTGATGCAGGGGACACCTGGGGGAGGAAGTGAGGAGGGCAGCAGGGCCCCATGTAGTTGATGTTAACAAGAATAAACAATTAGGGCCAAGAAATCCCAGGTGGTAGCTGGAGGAAAGACAGACCTGGGGGTGCTGTTTAAAGATGGCACAGGTGAGTCCGTTCCATAGTCGTTAATGGGAAGGTGTCATCGCAGAAGGGAAGGAGGGCACAAAGGGAGTTGTCAGGGAGGTTGGGACCCAGGCAGCTCTGGCCCAGTGCTCAGGGTGGGCCCCTCCATCAGCGGTGGGGGAGGGTGATGGTGGCCCTGCCTCCCTGGAGGTTCTCTGTGAAGGAGGCAGCACTCGAGATGCAGGAGACCACCCACCCCAGCAGGTGATGCCAGGCTCCCCTGGAGTAGTTTCCTCTTTCAGGTGCAAGCTGGGAGAAAGCAGAGAACTGACTCCATGAAGAGTTGGGATTTTGACAAAAGAGCCCCTGGACAAGGCGTTGAGGCAGCAAAGGATGTCCATCACTCATTTGTCACTATCCTCCTCACATTTAATCCTCATAACACCCCTGTGAGGTAGGTTATCATCGCCCCCTCTTACAGATGAGGAAACTGAGGCTCACACATGCCCAGGGGCACACAGTCGACAGGACGGGTCTACAGTTCCAACGCTTCGGTTCTCACCCCGACCACGCCCCACCCAGGGTGGCCAGAATTCCCTTATAGTCGCAAGAGTACAGCTGCCACAGACTTACAAACACACACAGCACCAGCACACAGAAAAGCAGCAGCTCAGTGAGCATCTCCCAGCCCTGGGTTTCTGGTTCAAGAGCATTTGGGGGGCCAGGCGCAGTGGCTCATGCCTGTAATCCCAGCACTTTGGGAGGCCGAAGTGGGCGGATCACCTGAGGTCAGGAGTTCGAGACAAGCCCGGCCAACATGGTGAAATCCCGTCTCTACTGAAAATACAAAAATTAGCCGGGCGTGGTTGGGTGCTTGTAATTAATCCCAGCTACCTGGAAGGCTGAGGCAGAATCTGGGAGGCGGAGGTTGCAGTGAGTTGAGATCATGCCACTGCACTCCAGCCAGGGTGAAAAGAGCAAAACTCCGTCTCAAAAGAAAAAAAAAAAGCATCTGGGGGACACTTCTAGTCAAGTGGTTCTTTCTTACATTTGCAGAGGAAACAGAAGTGGATGGCAGCAGGGTGAGTGTGCTGTGGTAAGCCCATCCCCAGGGAGAGGCCACGGTCACATGGCCCCAGACAGGCTCCCCAGGCGAGGACTGCTGTCTCCCAGGCTCCCTTTCCATGCAGAAGCGGAGTCTCTGTGGCCAGCAGGAAAGCCCAGGGGTCTGGCTCCCTCCCACGGATCCCCAGAGCACAGCTGCAGTTGGGATCAGCCAGGACACGGCCCCCGACTGCTCTACTACTCTGCCTCTTGGTCACCTCAGATGTTAGAGGGGACTTCAAGTTTTTTTCTGGCTAGCCTCTCTGGGAAAATTCTTTTTACATAAAGTGTGTCAGGATGGCAGTGAGGGGCTGGAGTAAGATTTTTGTTTTGCAGTTGAACCTAAATAATGGTAGGAATCTCTTGTTTTTTTAATACCTTCTGTTTTAAGTTTTTCTCGTTTTCATCTTGGAAGAAGGAAATTTAGAAACAAAGAGGAAAAGAGTGGCCCAGAAATTCAGCACAAAGAGAGGTGTTCACATTGACAACATCTGTGGGTCACAGACAAATGTCTGGGACAGAGCCTCTGGGACAGAGCTCTAAAATGAGTAACGTGTCGTAGGGAGTCCACGCAGTGTGCAGGGACACAGGCCCCCTTACCATGGAATACCCACCCAGAAGGAAGTGGGTGCCCCATGCAGACCAAGGTGGATAAGGGGACAGTGGTGTGCTCAGAGCTGTCAGCTCCCCACTGGAGCCCCAAACCAGACAGATGTGGGCAGGAGCTCAAGTGGTGTCTGACTACCCAGGTCACACGTGCCTTGAGCGTGAAAGCTGTCAGCTCCTGGCACCGGGCTCTGCTGGGGCTGGGAAGACCAGGACACACATGGGCGGAAGCTTCTAGAGACAGTGAGACACGGAAGGGACAGAGAGGTGCCCTCCATGCAGTGCGGCCAACTGCTTTGAGGCTCAACTTTCCAAAGAGAGGGATCTGACCTCTTCACTCTCATTTCAACATTCTCATAGTTTGCAAGGGACTCCCGCGGAGAAAGAAACTTGGTGACCACAAGTTACCCTCTCTGCTCTCTGTGCGAAGGCCTCCGGGATCTACACAGCATTCCTATGCTGTGCTCCCACCCCTCGCCTCCAGCCCCCTCAGTACACATCCACTGCGGCAAATGCGCTGACACACTTACAGCCTCACAAGGCCCAGGTTCGTGTCCTCCTCCTCACTGTGTATGCATAGGTTTATCCGTTTCACCTGTTGCCGGGGAACACTGCTTTCGGGGGGACTTGGGGGACGACACTGTAAACATGACTTCCTGGCCTGATGGTGGCAGGGCTGTGTGTGCGAGTCACTGTCCAGGGACAGCACTGAGGTAGGTCGGGGCAGGACCCCCAAGCCACCATCCACAGAGCTTGTGGGACTCGTGGTGCTGACGGAGGAGTACCCTGAGGTCGTGACGTCCTTCCCTGGCTCCGGGCTGGTGCGGAGCAGGGACTTGGGTCCTGGGGTTGCAGGGATCTGGGTATCCAGCGCTGGTACCTGTGGGTCCTGGGGTCTCTCGTCCTCTGGGCAAGCCTCCTCATCACTGGATTCCTGGCAGCAATGCTGTTCTGGATTCAGGTAGACCACGGTGACATCGAGGATGCCACTGGGAGCTGTCACTGCAGGAAGGTTGGTGGGGAGGGAGATCATGTCACACCCAAGCATCAGGGGAGACCCCCTTCCAGGTCAGGACCCTGAAGTGCAGGTCAAGAATCTTCTACCTTGCTATGGTCCTCTGTGTTACCCTCCTGTGGTGAGAAGTGTGGGTGACATGCCTCTTCCAAGGTTGGACAGCTGCCCACCATGACTCCAACGACAGTGGAGATGACAAGTTGGGCATCTAGCTCAAGCCAAGTGGATGCAGAAGCAAGCAACTGGGAAATCGACAGGACTCACACTAACTGGGCTTCTGGTAAGGACCCATGCAGTCTGCCTGGGGTTTGCACAGGGCAGTGATCCCAGCAGGGCAGTGAGGAGTGTCATGTAAACCACGTGGGCACATCTCAAACAACATTCTAGAAAGAAAAATTAGCCTGTCCAGCTAATTTTTAAATTTTTTGTCTTGCTATGTCACCCAGGATTGTCTTGAACTTCTAGCCTGAAGTGATCCTCCTGCCTCAGCCTCTCAAATTGCTGGGATTACAGGCATGAGCCACCACACCTGGCCTAGAAGGATCTCCATGAACTCCAGACAGGTCTCTACCTCCCTCATCCTAGTGAGGTCTTCCCAGCACAGAACGAGCAGGAGCCGGATAGGTGTGGCCTAAGTCCTCTCATCCCTGTGTGATGGTAGAAGCTGTGGTGTTTTGGGGGTTCTCCCCTCCTCTCACTCTCCCCATGCCTGGACACACTCCCCGGCAGGGCAGGAGCTGGCCCCGCCCTGTGCTCTGTGCACATCCTCCTCCCTCCCACAGCGCTCGCACAGGGCCAGGTGCCCAGAGACCCTCAGTGAGAGCCACCCTGTGTGATGTCCCTTCCAGTGCGCCCTGGCCCTACACTCACCGTCACCCTCCTTCTCGCCCTCGCTCTCCTGGTCGCCTTCGTAGCCAGAGCAGCAGTCCAGGCTCCAGTCGAGGAAGCTGCCCAGCAGCGTCTCCTCCTGGCTGGACAGCTCCGCAGTGGGGGTGGTAACAAAGCTGCCCCTGTCCTCCTGGAGGCTGTTCTCCCGCTTCCTGCAAGGTGGAGAGAGCCCAGGAGACCCGGTCATGGGCGCCAGCGCTGGGAGGCCAGGCCCTCTGCACCTACCTCTAACACCCGTGTGCCCCGGCCTGTCACTGCATGCTCCCAAAGGGTCTGCTGGGTAGAAAATGCTGGTGAAGCTAGAACAGGTATAAGCCCTTGAGGCAGGGCCAACCTGGAGGACAGCTCAGGCAAACTCAGGCCCCAGGTCTGGGTGTGAAGCCCAGCCCACCCGGCTCAGCTGTGGGGCCTGGGCCAACCATCTGGTCCCCTGGACACCCCCAGGATGATGCTACCTTCCAGTGTTGTTGTTGTTTTTTTTTTTTTGAGGTGGAGTCTTGCTCTGTCACCCAGGCTGGAGTGCAGTGGTGTCATCTTGGCTCACTGCAACCTCCGCCTCCCAGGTTCAAGTGATTCTCCTGCCTCAGGCTCCTGAGTAGCTGGGACTACAGGTGCCCACTATCACACCCAGCTAATTTTTATATTTTTAGTAGAGACGGGGTTTCAC